TATGATTCATTTTGAGAGGACATAAAGTTCGCGTAAAAAACGTTTCTTTACTTAAACCTAGTCTACTTAAAAAATCAGAAATGTTGTCTCTTCCAGAAATATTCAAAACATGTACGTTTTTATAAGAAAGTGCAATTTTTAAAGACCAGCGAATAAGTTTTTTACTAGAGTTTTGTACATCCGGATTAAACATAAAAAAGCTTACTCTACTATCTGTACAGATTAAAGTTAACGGCGAGTTTTTTATATCGTTTTTAAAAGCTTCTAATGAGTACAAAAGTGCCGCACTTTCCTTAAGATAAATTGCATGATTTTGATCACTTTTAGGAATGGTTTTAGAAAACTGAGATACAAGCTTAATATGTTGTTTTGCTTTATTGCTTTCAAGTGTAGCTTTGAAATTAAAAAATCTGATTTTTCTAAATTAATTTTTAACCCCAGTCTGTGTATTCTGTGTAAGAATATCCCCAAATGTTTTTTGTGTAGTTCTTCATCTCCCCTCGTTGCAATTGAAAGATCGTCAAACCATGCTTTAAAATAGCTATTAGGCGTGCTTAGAGGATCGTATAGACCAGAGTCATCAATATTCATTTGTTTATTTATGGTGTCAGTAAAAAAAAGTGGCACAGAATTTGATCCGGTCAAAGGAGAGTAAAATCTTACACATCTTTCATCTGTTATGACTTGGCTAATGTTTGATTCAAGTGCCGTTCGGCTCAGGCGTATTGCGTAGTACGCTGACCGTAGGTCGACGCAAGTTAAAAAATCATATTTTGATATAATGGTTTTCAAGGGTGCGGTTACACAATCTGTGTAGGTGGAAACCGGTGATTTCACATACTTGTTAACCTCACGTACATCAAATATAATTCTATGTCCCCTATTTTTGTCTGGCCTACCCACTAGGAAACATGGACTTCCTGTTATATTATTAATATCGGCATCTTCGGCTAGATTGAAGTATATTATGTAATCCAAGATATCATTCATTGCTTTCTTTTCATCTGGCGACAGTTTATATGTTTTAGTCATAATCGGAAGTTTTTCTTTCAATGGAATGTCCATGGTTATAAGATTGCCTTGAATATCTTTCATTTTTCCGCAGTCATAGCTATATCTAGAAACAAGGTCTGGATATTTTTCAAATTCTTTTTTCAAAAATATTTTTTGATCTTTTGTATATTTGTCCTTTAAGTATTCATCAACAATAACTGATGCACTTTTAATGGGAAACTTAATATCTGGTAAGTCTAATCCTGGTAATTGTGAAAGATATTCAAGTGTATCTTTATTTTCCTCTAATTTTTCCTCTTTATTGTCTGTGTCAAAAATATTATTCAAAAAATTTATTTTAACTATATTTTCCTTTATATTTTTATAATATCTGTTATTAAATTCACAGTTTTTATTATAAAAGTGCACAGGTAGGATTTCAGAATCAAGTATTAAGTCTTTAGCTGTTATATCATTTAAGTCATAGATATCATCAGGATTAACAACTTCAGTTACAATTTTTAAGACATTTGGTTTAAAAGTCATTTTCTTCTTAGAATCGTTTTTAAATATGATATTTAAACTGCCATTTTTTGAGACTGACGTAGAGGGAACAATAATTGAAGCACTGTCTTCATGTGAATACGACAAGTATGTTGAATTATCCTTGAAATTATTATTTTGCAATGAATATACTTTTGTTTCATTAGGATATAAGACACATTTTTTGTTGTATGTACTTGTTATTGTAGTTTTATTTTCAATAAATTCCGATTTAATATGTTCATTATTACAGTATAAATGGATTTCAGACGAGAAATGCATTGAGATGTTAAACAATTTTAAAAGATCTAATCCTATAATTATTTCTGTGCCCCTCTCTGGGATAGAGAATGATGATTCTAGGATGGTTGAACCAATTTGAACTGTAAACATTTTTGTACCCAATATATTAAACCGGGAACCCTCAACTCCAATTCCATAGTCTAATTTATAAAATCCATCCTTAAAGTTTTTCCAATTTTTAAAGAATTTTTCTGCATATTTTAGGCTTAATATAGAACTTTCAGAACCAGAGTCTAAAAGAGCATATAATTTTACATTGTTTATGATTAAAGGGACTGTAACCTCACTTATATAAGACCTTTTATTATATGCTTTATTAAAATTGAAGTTACGAAAATTAATTTTTTTATTACATAGGTTTTCTTCATCAGATAAATCTTCATTATTTAAATTATTTTCAGAGTTATTATGATTATTTTTTACTTTATCGCTAGTTGTATTTTTATAACATTGGAGCACTTCTAGTTTTTTGGGAAAGATGCACATTTGTTTTGAGGATGATAGAGTTTGATAAACAGTTTGTTGGCGCATCTGTGACACTCCACCTGTGAAGGTTCAAGGCCAGGGTACAAATCACAATTTACTGATCCGTGCGCAGGGCTGTTGCAAAGCCTACAGCGAACAAAACAATTAGCAGAAACATGCCCAGATTTTCCGCATTTTTGACATGTTTTTTTTAGTTTGCAATATTTTCCTATGTGTCCGTTATTATTACAGACCTCGCAAGTTTTTGTTTTAAAACAATTTTCAGTGGAATGATTAGTTTTTTTGCATACGGCACATGTCATCATGGAAATCTGATTTCTTCCGCCTGTTTCAATCTCATTGTCTGATTCGTTAGTCTGGGCAAAATTGTACTTTGAACCTTTATAGGTTTTGGCCATATGTGCATCTATTTCAGTTCTAAACTTGTAGATAAAATCTACAAGTTTAGGTAGTGGAGGATATTCTCCTTGGTTAATAACTTCATATGAGTCCAAGAAATCAAGTAATTTTTCAAAAATACGTTTAGGTAATATGCCTTCAACTGAATGTATGAACAATTGACTTTGTTGTTCTGAGTTCTTTCTGGACAATGATAAAAGTCTCAGATTTTCTTCCATAAAGTCATGCAAATTATTAAATTTATTCTTCTGACTGACTAGAGCTGAAAATGCTTCGTGGTGACTTTCAGAGGAATCATAGATATTCAAAAGATTTGCAAACAGTCCCTTTAAATTGTCATGCTTATATCCTCTAACTGCGCTTTTCACTCTTGGAGAAAGTTTTTGATTTAAAATCAGTTCATATTCAGATTCAGAAATTTGAAAACCCAGATTTTCAACAATGTTGTTCATACCATTCAAAAGTTCCCTAATTGTATAATTCTTGTCATTTGTAAAGATAGGAATATTTTGGAACACTCTCTGAAGTTTGTTTAGTTTGTCAAGGTCGACAGTTTTATTAGTTGTTTTTAAGTTGATTGGCGGGTACAAGTCTTTATGATTTCTACATGTATTTAACATTAAAAATCGTTCAGAAACAATATTGTCAATCTTGTCTTGTTCAGTATTGTAGTGACTAAAGAGTTCCTTCATAATCCTGTCTAAATTATCGCCATCTATTTTTTTCTTCTCTAGTTCTGAGCTTAATTCACCTAATGTACTCATTTTTTTAACTTTGCAATCTACTACTGCAATATCTATTGGTTCTTCTTCATCTGATTCCACATTTAAATATTCTTTTCCAACATGTTTCATAACTTTAGACTTGAAAGCATCTAGTGATTTAAAATTCCTTGATGGGGCCCTTCCAATAGATTTAGATCTAATTTTGTTTTCAGCCATCTTACTTACTCTTATTTAAGTTTGTTTTTTATTTAAAATATATTTGTTGGACTTTAGCCTTAGTTTATTTAGTCCCTAGTAGTTTTCACTCAATTTTGAAACCTGTCTAGACTGTAACTGCCTCAGGGTTAGTTTAAAGGTTGAATTCGTTCTTACTTTCCTTACACAGTATATAACCTAATCTTAGTACAAAGTACAAAATACAAACGTTGAGAAGTACAAGATATAATGAGTACAATGATATACGTATATAAGTATTTTATATTTTTGTTACTACGTGTTAAGTTTGTTTTCAATACAGTTTAATTTTATCAATTCAATATGATGAACAGGGATAAACCTTCCCCCCCTTCAAATTGAAAAAAAAATTTAAATACATAGGTTCTTTAGGACACGGCTCGCCATTTTGTTTCAATTTCTAGGTTTTAAAGTTTGTTAATTTGCCATAAAACTGGGCTATTTAGGTGTGATATTTTTTTTACTAGAAATGAAGCTTTATATCTCTTATATAATCAGAAAAAAATCCAAATTCCAGAGTGATGTAAATATAAATGTTTTAGGTTAAAATGTCTTATATGATGCTACTCTGAAACTCTTCCCAGTAAACTGTCTGTTATTAAGACAATAGCACGCAAAGCATAAGCAATACGGAGAGCTAAAAAACTCTGAATTTACGCTATTGTTCCCAGGATATGTTTCTAGAGATTTGAATTGCAATACTGTAACATTCTTTTTTACAACACTCTCAAAGATGGACAATTTCTAACCATAGACTCTATACGAAAAAATTATATTAAATGACTTACTTTTATCTGTCAGAATATATTTCACAAAGGAAGAGAATAGAGTGAATAGAGTGTATAGAGTGTATAGAGTGACAATACACAAAGTTTACAAAGCTTTTATACCAAAAAATCACAAGGGGTTGCACTTGCGCACAAATATATAAAGGATAACATACTATAGATAATGAAATTCCTTGACATACATTATTTCATTGGATACATAAACGATTTTACAACAAATATTGGTCTGTTATTGGTCGATACAAAAAGTTTCAAGATTCTATTGGATGTTTTAGAATAAAGCTAGTAAAGGATTGGTCTGGCGCGCAGCCTAGTTTACTAAGTTGAACTTTAGATAGAAAGTAGGTTACAAAGATATAGACGTCTGGGTCTGGGAGTATGTTGAAATGCATGATAAACCAAACTGTATTTTTCGTTGCCATGCCAAGATAGTAATTTAAACATCTAGATATCAGGATGTAAAAGTTTGAAGGTGTTTAACATTTTTTTTATAGAAACATACACTTTATATGTGACAAAAATTGTCACAAACCCCGGATAGGAAAAATTTTGATTCTCTCTTGTGGGCAACAGTAACTGTATTCCAGGTATTGGGATAGGCCTAGGGCGAGGAACGCTAATACTTTTTACTATTTACATTACTTTGCATAAATTAACATAAAAAACAAGCCAACCATGGTTAATTTTCATAAAATGAGTCTTTCCGATTTAAATAAAAGTTTTGGTTAATTTAGAAAACTTTACTCTGTGCAATACTACAATTTTATGAAAAAATTTATAAAAAACAAGAAAGGCATATTTTAAGATATGTCGGGCACGGTCATAATATCACTTTTTTAATAACAGTTCTTTTCCTTACATTTTATCTTGTAATCTAATGTCGGTTTTTCTAATCGTTATTTTTAAAATCTTCCGGTTATTTTGCCCAGACCTACGGACAGAATCATTTCTCAACCTTTCATAGAAGACAAGTACTGTCTTGGGAACCAGGAAACAAAAACTGGCATGGCACAGTTAGAAGAACCTCTTCTAACAATGTGTTCAATTCTCAAAACAGTTCTAACTATAAAAGCGCAATAAAAATGTAGTGCAAAAAGAATATACAGGGAATTATAAAGCCATGACATTTTCCTGCTAAAGATTAATGATTCTTTGAAATAAAACTCTTTTATTTTATGCATTGGACAAAATGCATCCTTGATGCAATTTGTGTAAATTTTGCAAAACTAAAGCATCTTTGTACAGTTTACTCTTAAGATAGCTTTATGGTTTATGTATATGCCAAACCTGAAACCTAATCTAACTGCATTGCATTTTTGTTGTTGGAAAAATGAAAAAAAACATAGTTTGATATATAGGTATCTTACAGGTATCGTTCAGGGCCTGAGATTCTCAGATAATTTTTGTTTTCAAAAATCCCTAAATTTGAAATTGGTCAAACTCGTGTCAAGTTTGAGTCAAGAACCCAATTCCTTTAGAAAATTGAAACTTTAGGAGATCAGAAATAATGAAAAGTTGTAAATAGTTCAACTAGGTGTGGCTAATTGAACTGGCGAACTTAAGGACAGGGTTGCCAACCCTTTTGTTTTCTTACCATTTTTGAAGCCTTGCTGGATGTTTTTTTTGCAAGGTTGCAACCTGGTGTTTTTTTAAACCTAAAAATTTAGATGTTTTTCTTCTAATTTTTGAATTTTTGGCAAAGAAAATTTTGAATCACATAATTATCACAGAACAAACCTGTATAATTCTAGATGAAAGAAGCATTACAAGTATTACTGGTGTTTTTTTACTATCAAGTTTGTATCTCTTTAGTCTAGGGGTTGGCAAAGGATATCAAATCCAACCTTAGACCCATAAACAGGGTCCAGGGCCGGACTACAAGCGTAGTTTAAAGTAACCCTCCCTACAAAGATGACAGTGCAGATTCATAAGGGTTCCATAAACTCTTTATCTGATCAATAAATTGGAAAACCTTGTAGTTCTTGTAGTTTTTTTAGGTTTAGAAGTGTGCAATTCTGAAAAATCCTATATATTTCTGTGGTAGAAATTAAACAACATGAACAATTGAAAATAATGATTTTTCAACATTATCAAAATGAATATCTAATTCATACTTGATCAGACAAAGTTTAAGGGTACCGTTGTTAATCTGGCATTGTGTGGAGAATCTCTTTAATTTACGCTTACAGTCCCTTTAACTTAATTAGGTGTTAACCCAAGAGGATTGGAATATTGTACTGTTTGCTGGTATGGAAAGAACATCTCATTGGGCAGCTTTGTACTTTGTAGCACTCATGACATTCGGCAACTACGTACTGTTTAACCTCCTAGTCGCTATTCTTGTTGAAGGATTCTCAAATCAGGTAGATTTCTTTATAGTGTTTCCTTCTGTGTATTCCTTGTACCCCTTAGATTAGTTCTCTTTTCAATGTTTACCGAACTCAAAAATCATCAGTTTTTAATTTTCCATACATTTCATGTTAATATCATCGATATTCACAAATCAGAGACATTTCATGTTAAAATCAAGGATATTCTCAAATCAGAGACATTTCATGTTAATATCATCGATATTCACAAATCAGAGACATTTCATGTTAAAATCAAGGATATTCTCAAATCAGAAACATTTCATGTTAATATCAAGGATATTCACAAATCAGAGACATTCCATGTTAATATCAAGGATATTCTCAAATCAGAGACATTTCATGTTAATATCAAGGACATTCTGAAATCAGACAAGAATCTACAAAAAAAGAGCCATGTTTTTAGCAATTTTAAGAATCCTTAATGCTTAAATTTTGAAAATAATTCCAATTTAGTTTATGTCACCCTGTTAAATAAATGTTGGCTGATAAGTGGAAAATATCTTGCACCATAAAATTGTTCTCAGTGTAAATGTTTTTTAAAGTTTGGTTTATTAACGCAATGGCGATCAAATATCGGTTCGTTTTATTCTTTTAGTCATTGCCTGAAATTTTCAAATCACTATATCTTTGCAACACCATGTCGTAGACCTATTTTAAACTATGGTTTAAAGAATCTAAATTTTAATTTTCAAAAGTTTAAACCTTAAGATAAAAAATATAGGGATTAAAAAGTTGAGTTTGTGGCTAAGTCTCGATTTGTTTCCATTATTTCGATAAACCTCCGCTTAGTTCGTTATTTAAACTTTTCCCATTGCTTGTACAGTAGAAACCAGAATACTCTGGAATATAATAACGACTGTAAGACTCCAGTTAGGAGTGCAAAACACATGATGTACAGCAATTGAGCCGTGTGTAAACAGGCCTATTTGACTTACAAATCAATTTAACAATTATTAGTTAAAACTATTACTTTTATGTCGTCTTTCTATTCCACAATTTCTTGGTTCTCACCATATCAATTTTTTAAGTTAACATATCTTTCCTTATTTTGCGATTTTTTTTCAAAATATTAGATCTTCCCCGGGCCTGGATGGGGGGGGGGGGGACTGTAAGAATACAATAAGTCCTGTATATGACCCCCGGGATTATAATAAATCAGAGTGCAGCAGCAGGAAGGATCTGTGTCCAATGGAATGAAAAAATTCCCTAGGGTTTAAGCTCTATAAGGAGACATTTGTATTTTGCAGTTAGGGTCAGTTTTAGTTTTCCCTCGGTCAGAGAACAAATCAAATTTTCTTAAAATCAACCAGGTTGACTTTTAAAAAAATTGTAACAATAATTTGTTAAACTCAAATTTTCTAATCCCTATTCTAATATTGTAGACCTTTGATATTTCAAACCATGTATTTGATCAAGTTAGATGAAGAAGCTAAGGAACTAGAAAATTTGAGTTTGTGGCAATTGACAAAAATATATCATCTGAGAGTCGTTTAAAACGTTGTTATAGTTTCTTAGTTTTCTCACACATATATATATATATATTGATATTTTTTAAACAAATAACTTTTTAGAACCCCTTTTAGTTAAAAATAAATAGTTTAGACTTTAATTTAATTCTAACCATTGAACCCTGCAGGCTGAGCCAACAAATGTATTGGTAAGCTTTCAGTCATTTATTTGCATTATTAGTTTATTGCCCTTGCACTTGATATATTTTTTACAGTTTAATCCAGAACTTTGAAGACATTGAAAGATTTTATAAAATGTCGTCTTGACAATTTTGCATTAGGTTTTATACTATTATACCTAAATCTTGGAAATTGTTAAAATAGCTGTACAATATGTGGGAACAGTTTTAAAGATCTTCATTTAAAGGGATCGTTCACTTCTTTGTGTAATTTGAGGTTAAACTATAAATAGTCTATTAGTTATTCATTGGTATTAGTCCTATTTTTCAAAGACAACTGTGGCCTCAGAAAAAGCCGATTTATCATTCAGAATTCCAGCGCAAAGGTATAATACCTTTACATTTACACTATTTGAAGCTTTTTGTTTCAAAGTCATGGATTTTTTTACCATGAAATCATCCAAATAAGTGAACGGTCCCTTTTGTTATTCAACTAAAAACTAAACATCTGTGTTATTCCATTTCCAGTAGGTTAGACAACGACATTTTTTAATTCTTTCGATGTCTCCTATAACCTGGGTTAAACTTTGAGATATTTCAGATATTTATTCGTTAAGAAAAAATGAAACAATTGATTTAAATCAAATACAGGGTGTCCCAAAAAACATGGGAATTCAGTGACGAATTCGATATCGTCTTTTCAAATAATTCTTTGATTTAGCATAGTGAAACCTACTGAGAAAGCTGTAATCGGTAAGAGTTTCGTCTGCTATGTTTACATTTTGTTTGTTTATGTTTTGACTGCAACCGGTTGTACTTAGTAAAACAAGAAAATTGCAGTATACAAACAGAGTAAACTTGTCCGTATTCACTGTTCATCTTGCGGAGACATTATAGACACATCTTTGCAGTCGTTTACCCTTTTTATTAAATAAACTCTAGCAGACATAATAATATTATGGCTTTGAAAGTAGGTATTACAATTCTAATTCATAACAAAGACGATATCGAATTCGTCACTGAATTCCCATGTTTTTTGGGACACCCTGTATATTTGAATAAGTAGTTTGCATCTAATTTTTTCCAGATATACATTGAAAAAGAGTGTCTCAAAAATATAGAAATTGTAAGGCCCATGTTAGTGTTGAAATAAATCTTATAAATATTCTGTAAACAATTTGATTTGAGATCACATCTTCATTGTTAAAAAATGCAATATATCCCCTTTTTCGTGGTTTATAAAGGTCAACAATAGATCAGTAAACTTAAAGAATGTTCCTTTTAATTGTAGTGTTGACCAGAATTATGACAGATTATAAAATAAATGGGGCCTACTCTTTCTATTTGAGACGCTCTAGTGGTTCCAAAACCATTGTTAAAAGTAATTGCAAAATGTATTCGCAGAAAGTTGTTAAACTCTCCGTTTGAATATGTTTTTTTAATATATTATAAGTTATACCCCTTTCAACCCTTTTTCTTAGATTAGGTATTCATTTGGAAAAATTGCATCTTTCACTGAATAGCATGAAATTTTATTTCCGATCTTTTCTAAAATTAAATTCATAAAATGTAATGGAAAGTTTCAACTCAAAATTAATAAATAGCTTCACTTTATCGGGTCCGTCAAATTAATTTAAAATGATAATCTATCTAAAGTGTTTAATGTCTGATTTACCTACCTGCCAGGACATGTAATGCTTTTTTAATTAAGAACAATTTATAGTACGTCGTACAGTCCCTTTAAACTTATTAAAACTTACCAAAGTCAATTGACACCAGATCTATTCTCCATAAGTAATGCATCAATTTTATTTAACTTATTTGTTTTCTTCCACTCCATTTTTTAGTTATTTGTACATACATCTTTCGAAGCATTCATAACACATCCATGTGACATCATTTATACTAATATTAAAACTATGGCATTTATAATAATTTTTATTCATATATGATAATGTTCATTATCTCAATTTTATCATTTACTTCAGCTTTATAACATTGTGCATCTGGTATAATTGCATTGCATTACACATGGAGGCCATTTTTATGCACGGTTTCTGCTTCATTCATTTTCAGATTTTGCATTAATTTAAACCTTCAGTTTTAATCTCATATTCGTGTATGAAGTGTGGAATCTTCATTAAACAAGAAATATTTAAGGAATACTAATAATTCAACTCTCAGAGACAAATACTGAGAGAGTGAGGGAATATATTATAGCATGTTAACTAATTTTAACCCTATTCCTGCTGTGTGACCCCCCCTGTAGTTTTTTTT